CCCCCCCCCCCCCCCGACCCCCATCCTAGTTTTTGGGTCCTCCTGACTCCCCCTCCCCCATTCTGGGACCCCCCAGCTCTCCTGACCCCCTCCTTGGCTTTGGGGCCCCCCAACCTCCCTTCCCAGTTTTGGGGTCCCCCAACTCCCCTCTCGGGTTTTGGGGCCCTCTTGAACCCCCTCCTCGTGTTTTGGGGTACCCCCCAGCCCCCTCCCGGTTTTGGGGCCCCCATTTGCCCCCTCCAAAATCCTGCCGCCCCCCCCCTCGACCCCTGAACCCCCCAAAACTCCCCTCCCTAGGACTTTTTTCCTGCCTCCCCCCGGAGTTTTACCACCCGCCATGTGGGGCATTTTTGCTCCCTCCTCCCCCAAAAAACACCCCCAGGTCCCCAAAACACAACTTTATTCACAGCCCTGGCCCCCCCCTCCCCTCCCCTCCCCCACAGGGGGGTCCCGATGTCACCACTCCCCCCCGGGGGTCCCACATTGTGTGTGTGTGTCCCCTCCCCCCCCTATTTACAGCTTTGGGTTCTGGCACCGACGGGGACATTGGGAGCACTGGGGGGTCCTGGGGGCACTGAGGTGACACGGGAACACGGAGGAATTTGGGGACACCGTGTCACATTGTGCCCTCAGGGCACAAGGAGTGGCCGGTGCCCGGAGCTGTGCCCAGGGCAGAGCCACTGTGGGCCGGGTGTCCCCCTGTCCGTGTGTCCCCTTCATGGTGTCCCCCTGTCCATGTGTCCCCTGGCCATTGTCCCCGTGTCCCCTTGGGGCACAAAGAGCCGTCAGTGCCCCCTCCGATGCCAGGGCAGTGTCCCACTGTCCATCTGTCCCCTGTCTGTGTGTCCCCATGTCCCAAACAGCAGCCGGTGCCCTCTGCAGTGGCAGAGCCATGTCCCACTGTCCGTGTGTCCCCTCCATGGTGTCCCCGTGTCCCCTCAGGGCCCGAAGAGCGGGAGGTGCCCCCTCCGGTGCTTCCTCAGTGCCGCACTCCGGGCGAAGCTCTCCCCGCACTCCACACAGATCAGGGGCTCTCCAGCCCCCTCCTCTGCCCCCTCCACCCCCGAGGACTCCCCCCTCGCCCTGGGGGGCTTCCCAGGGTACTGGGGGGCTCTCCGTGGCCGCGCCCCCCCCCGCGTGGGTTCGCTGGTGCTTGATGAGGTTCTTGCTCTGCGTGAAGCTCTTCCCGCAGTCGGAGCAGCCGTAGGGCCGTTCCCCGGTGTGGATCCGCTGGTGCTGGATGAGGTTGGAGCTCCAGGAGAAGCTCTTCCCGCAGTGGCCGCACCTGTAGGGCTTTTCCCCGGTGTGGGTGCGGCGGTGCTGCACCAGGTGGGAGTTCTGGGAGAAGCTCTTCCCGCACTCCCCGCAGGTGCTCGGCCGCTCCCCCGTGTGGGTTCGCTGGTGCCGCAGCAGCTTCGACCAGTGGCTGAAGCTCTTCCCGCACTCGTTGCAGATAAAGGGGCGTTGCCGACCCCCCCCGCGGCGCCCCCCCCCTTCCTCGGACCCGCCCTGGGAGGGGCCCGGGGGTGCCCGCGGGGCGGGGGGGCACAGGGGGCTGTGGGGGATCACAGTCTGGATGATCTCCTGCGGCAGAATTTCCTCCTCCTCATCCTCACTCACGATCCCGTCATCGGCTGGAGGGAGGGGAACCAACAAACAGAGGTGCTGACCCCAGGAATGGGCACTGTGCCCTAGAAGGGGCTGTAACCCCCTCACTGCCCCCCCCAAAGGGGCTGTATCCCCAACCAAGGGTGGCTGGAGACCCCAAAAGGGTTTGTCCCCCCCCCAAAATGGTCATCGCACCTCAAAAGGGGTTGTAACACCCCCCAGGAATGGTCACTGTACCCCAAAAGGGTCTGTACCCACATCCCAGGGTGCCTGGAGACCCCAAAAGGGGTTGTGACCCCCCCCCGGAATAGGCACTGTGTTCTAAAATGGCCCTCACTGACCCTCAAAAGGGGCTGTACTCCCTCCCAGGCAGTCTGGAGACCCCAAAAGGAGTTGTAAGCCCCCCAAAATGCCCTAAAAGGGTCTGTACCCCTTACTGTGCCACAAAAAGGGACTGTATCCCCCATCCCAAATGATCACTGCATCCCAAAAGGGGCTCTACCCTCCTCCTCAGGTGCCTGGAGACCTCCAAAAATGCCTGGACCCCCCAAAAGTGTCTGGAGCCCCCCAAAAGTCACTGTACCCCCCTCCTTGGGTACCTACTGCACCCCAAAAGTGCATCCTGAAGTGCCTGGACCCCGCAAAACTGCCCATACTCCCCTCCTGGGGTGCCTGGAGCCCCCCCCCCCCCAGTTTTGGAGTCCCCCCTCACCGATGAAGACCCTCCTGACCACGTCCCCCTCGTCCCCCTCGTCCGAGTCCTGCAGCTCCACCACCTCAGGCTCCTCCTGCTCCATGGGGGGACTTGGGGGGCCTGGCGGGAAACGGGGATCTTGAGCACCCCAAAACACACGTGGAACCCCCCGACCCCAGAAACACCCCCCCCAAATCCCAAAGGACCCTTTGTGTCCCATTTTCTGCTGTGCTGGGGATGGATCCTCTGAATCCAGGGATCTGGGGGGGCTGCCCCCTCCAATCCCTCTGTGCCCCCCCAAATCCCTCTGTGCACCCCTCAAACTCCTCTGTGCCCCCCAAATCCCTCTGTGTGACCCCAAATCCCTTTGCTACCCCCAATCCTTTTGTGCCCCTCAAATTCCTTTGTGGCCCCCAAAATGTGACCCCAAATCCCTTCTTTCCCCTCCAAACCCCTCTGTGTGCCCCCCCAAATCTCTGTGCTCCCCAAACCCCTTTGTGCTCCCAAATCCCTCTGTGTGCCCCCCCAAATCCATTTGTCCCCCCAAAACCCCTCAGAGTGACCCCCAATCCCTCTGTGCCCCCCCCAAATGTGACCCTAACCCCCTGCACCCTCCCCAATTCCCCCTGTGCCCCGCATTCCCTCCCCTCACCTGTTCCTTGGGGGGTCTTGGGGGG